AAAATGAAAGCAAAACACTTCTTCCAAAGTCTCTATGAATCAGGGTTACAGACATACAGAGCATTTATCTGAGTGAATCTTACATAAACCATGGCTGATGATCAAACAATGTTGTACAAACCAAGGCACGCATGAAGGAACGTTGACTCCAACGACTAGGGCGTGGCAGCATCTGTCCTTTTATCTCCAAACTTGCTTCTAACCAGCCCCAGCTGCATAATGAATCTTGTATCCCGAAAAGACTCACAGCAGACATCTGCTGAGTCACAACAGGATGAGATCTCTTTCTGCCTGAACTGGAGACCTGGACAACAAGAGGATGTCGTCCAGGTAACAGAGAATCCGAACTGGGGATGACCTGATGTGCGCGGCTAGTTCTGCCAGTACCTTTGTGAATACACTGGGGGCAGAGGATAGACCGAATGGAAGAGCTCGGTACTGGAAGTGCCTCCCCCACATAGGAGAAGCGGAGATATTTTCAGTGGTCTATGAAGATGGGGATATGAAGGTAAGCTTCGGTCAAGTCTACCGATGTGAGGAAGTCGCGTTTCCTGACCGCCTGGAGGATGGTGTGCAGAGAATTCATTTTGAACCGCCGATAGATAATGTGGCGGTTCAATGTTTTTAGATCTAAAATTGCCTCCATCCCCCGGAATTCTTTGCTACTACAAACAGTCGGGAATAAAAACCCTGCCCTTCCTGATGAGGAGGAACCGATTGGATGGTCCCGATCTCCAACAGGTGCTGAATGGCCTATTCCATCAGTGCCCTCTTGCGAGGACACCGAGAGACCGGGCATGGCACGAAGTGTTCCTGGGGGATGGAGAGGAATTCTAGTATGAGACCAAATTTGACAGTTTTGAGTACCCAATTGTCTGTTGTGGTCTCCTCCCAGCGGTGGGCAAAGAATGCCAGGTGGCCTCCGATCGGAAGAGAGTCCAGATAGTCATTTCCTACGTAAAAAATGGTGGTTGCCTCCTCCATGGTAAGATTTCTTGGAGGAGAAATGCTGTGTGTTTCTATTGGGCCTGTCCTGGTGAGATCCCTGTCTGGGAGTGTAGGATTGGCATTGTGGATGGGGGAAGGAAGTTCCCCCATCCGCCGGTCAAAAGGGCAACCTCCTATAGAAGGGAGCGGGCCGACTGTTCTGTTTCTTGTAGATGGATGAAAGGACCTTGCACTTGTCTTTAGATTCCGTGAGGTACGGGTCTAAGGGATTACCAAATAATTGGGTGCCACTGAATGGGAAGGCTGCTAGGCGTCACTTGGTACGGACATCCACCTGCCATGGCATGAGTCAAAGTAAACACCTGGTCGTGACTGAAGAGGCCATGGCTTTAGAAGCGAATCTAGCAATTTTAAGGGAAGAATCAGCTGCAAATTCAACCTCTGCCCTGATCTTGTTGAGATCCCTATGTGATCTAGTGTCAGTAGGAGCAATGTGCTCCTGAAGCTGCTCAATCCAAACCAGGGCTGCCCTGGAGAAAAAAGAAGTGGTCGTAGAGGCCCTAACAGCCCAGGCCCCAGCCTGATAGTTTTTGACTAAGGTTTGAACTGACCTTTTCTCCTCAGGCTTGAGAACCTCCTCAGGGGCTCCAGAGACCACAGTAGGTGAAGACAGGGCTGCAGCCGGTGTGTCCACTGGGGGAGTCTCGACAAACTTGGTGAGGTCTGGTGCAATGATGTAGAGATGTTTGTCAAGGTTGGTTGGCTGTGGGCCCGTGCCTGGAGACTCCCATTGCTTCTGGATGATGTTCAGGAATATCTTGGGAACAGGGTTCACCTCTTTTTCCACCA